GTCCGGTGTCTGGAGCTGCTGGCTGGGTGAGGGGCGGCCCCGGGGAGCCCCCGGCGGGGGGAGGTCGCGGCCGCGGGGGACAGGTGCGAGAGCTGTGCGCACGCTGGCGCCCGGCAGGGCTGGGGGTGATGACCCGCGTCCGGGCGGGAGTTTCTAGACGGTTCTGGGACTGGCTCCGCCGATCGGAGGTCGCACACCCGGGGTGGGGTGGGGGGTGGAGGGGGAGAGAGTTCCGGAAACCGGCTTCAGCGCGCGCGGGCCGCAGTCCCGGGGCGCCTTCTTGCGCGCGCACCCCGGGGGCGCCCCCCGCACCCCTTCCCCTCCCCGCGGCCCGGGCGCGGTGGGCGCGGCCGCGTCTCCACCCCGGGGCGCGGATCCCAAATTGGGTGCCAGTCGGCTCGGCGGTGACTTCCCTCGCCACGCAGCCCGGGGCCTGGCCCAAGCCTTTGGGGTTGGGGGCGCCAGAGAGAGGGGCGGTTACAGCGGTCTGCGAGGGGTCCCAGACGCAAACCCCACCCCGCCTGTTGGTAAGCTGGTATTCCTCTCGCCTCCTCCCCAAGCGCCCATTTATTGGGTGTGTATTGAAAAATTAACTTGATAGGCTCTCTGTTGCTTGAATAAATAAGTAGAAGGTAGACTGGGCCCCAGCTTGGTCCTAAGAGGAAGCTTCTAGGCCAGTCCATACCCACATTTCTGAAGACACTGACAGCAAATTGCAGCTCACCCACAAAACCAGCCCCTTTGCTGATAAGCGAAGGCTGAGCTGAGCGTTTGAACGAGATGACTGGAGGTCGGCGAACTGTTTCTGAATAATTAACACTTAACCACTTCGCTTGGGAGCCGGACAGGCCACACCACGGTGTGGATACTGCTCTCCTGATGTGGGCTTCGCCCCAGGCCCTTTGGTTTTTACGGTGGAGACCGCAGAACGATGCAGGGCACACCACACAAGGTCTGTGGAAGGTTTGGGAATCAGGGCCAGATCTCTGAACGGATCGTGTGACCCTGCAGACGTGGGTTTTGAGGATGCGCCGCAGGTGCGGGCCTGTTGTTTGCCCGCTGTCTGCTTTAAGAAAGGCCCTGCAGAAGAAAACCCAGTGAGCTGGGTTTTTCTTGGATTGGGTCCTGAGTCGCTGCAAGTGTATTAGACAAGGAGACAGGTTTCCAGTGAAACGATGTTAGTCAGGGCTGGCTGTCCCATCAGGGAGTGAAAGTGGGAAAATCCCTGGTTAATAATTTCCTCATTTTGATTTCTTATCCCCTCCTGGCTCACTTCCTCTTCATCGCTTCACAGCCGATGATATCACAGAATCCAGAGGTCACAAAGATGGTTGGACTAGACTGGCTCTCACTTCCCTGATGGGGAAACTGAGTCCAGGACATGAGGAATGACAGCTCAGGGCCCCAGGCCTCTAGGTGCCAGACAGAATTGGGATTCTGGGCTGGAGTTCTGTTGGGAACCTGTGGGCACCCTGCTGTGTTGGAATTTGCCATGGTCAAGTGTTGGGGTGAGGGGAAAGTTAATTCACCCCAGGCCAATCAACGGCCACACGGAATGGCATGTATAATCAACAGCTGAGCATAGGTACAAACAAGACAGTTTGCTTCTGAGGAAGCCGGTGCCTTTTCAAGATAGACTCCTTCACTTTAATGCTAGACATGCTTGTTTTCTGCGAAACAGAACAGTAGGAGCTTAGACACCACAGCCGGGTGGTTCTGTGACTACTCTGAACATCTACAAGACCTTTTGAGGGGGTCTCTAGTGTTTGGAAAGGGATGTTGGGGAGACTAAGTGATTTAATTAGAACAAAAGCAACCATATAATATCTACACAAGGGCAGACCGCTCCTTGCTGTCCTTCCTGGGCCTCCCCTAAGCCCCTCTACCATTGGCTAGGTGATCACTCCCTGAAAGGGGCTTGCTCAGGTTCACTTCAGTGCAGAATCTCCCTGCCATTTGCAGGCGTTTATTCTGAAATTGCACACCTGCCACCATGTCCTGATGATGTGCTACTTCTGGGTTCACAGAAAAACTCACCAGAAGTCTTCCATGTGGTAGGGGACAGTAGGGTATATAGAGAGCTCGACTTTCCAGCTCTGTCGCCTTCTATCCATTCATCTTCTGTGGTCCCTCTTCCTCATCTGGGAAATGGGACCAAGTGGCAAGAGTTAGGGTGCACTTTGAGAGAATGCATGCAGAGTACTCAAGGCAAAGCCTGGCTCTGTGATGGAGGGTGGGAGTGGGGGGTTCCTCTGGGTGGGGGAGGAGAGGAGTATGAGTTGGACACTCTTAGTTTTAGGCTCTCCCAGCTCCTTAAACAGGATTCACCCTATTCAAAATGGGGAACAGTGTGGAAACCTCAGCCCTCACTGACCGTTCTTTTCTGTGGGTGTCAACCTCGACAATCATGGAATGTACCCCTCCCCCCTCCCTCAGAGGAGCACTTCCTGGAATGCTCAGGAGCCTTCCACTTTGTTTTGCTTTGTTTTTCTATTTTATAACCACTTCATCTAGGCGCTGTGGAGGAGTGTCCTCTCCCGGCCTCTTCTTCAGTGTGGTGGTATTGAGCTCTACCCCATGAGAAGGTGCTAGAACCAAGGAGTCAAGAAATCATTCCAGGACATCAGCACCACAGAAGCCTTTTAGGGTCATCTCAAAGAAAAATCTGAAAGGCTTCTGCCAGAGGAACCTGGGATGGGCCTCACCTGCTTTTAATGCTTTTTAAACTTTCTCTTAATGTTTTGTTCCATGGGAATTCTAGGAGTCGAATGCTGTAGCAGAGAATGGGGGTGAAGTAGGAAGAGTGGCTGTTTCAATAAAGGTCCTTGCTATATAACAAGTAGTTAGTGGATCTAAGTGCCGTCTTTGCCAATCATGCTGGGGCACCGGCCCACTGAGTATGCTCATCTCAAGATGATGGATCAAGAAGCAGCTTTTCAGTGAAAAGGAGGAGGAAGAAAAGGAAAAGGGGATTTCCAAGCCATAAGAGGAACATTAGAAAGTCAGTGAAGAAAATAAGAGGAGTCAGAACTATTGTGGTTATGACAACATGGCTGAGGGACTAGTCTCAAGTTTAAGAGTGTTTGAACTTAGCCTGGAGAAACAAGACATCTGAGAGGCCATGACTAGATGGCGAGATTACTGAGACATTCTAAACACCACAGCAGTAGTCGATTTCTTAGAACACAATGAACACTCCTCCTACAACTCTCCTCACAAGTTATAATAAGACTTTTGTATTTGCCATGATATTAAAATGATTTAAATCTACTTTTTTTTCCAGTGTGGAAATATATGTATAATTTCCTGTCTGTGTGTCGGTGTGTCTGTGTCTGTGTGTCCTGGTACTAGGGCTTGAACTCAGGGCTTTAGCTTTTTTGCTCAAGGTTGATGCTTTACCACTTGAGCCATAGCTCTACTTCTGGCTTTTTGGGAGTTAATTATAGATAAGAATCTCATGGTCTTTCCTTTCCAGCTGGCTTTAAACTGTGATCCTTAGATCACAGACTCTTGAGTACCTAACAAGCATAATTGGCACCCAACTCCATAATTTCCTTCTGATGATAAAAGTGTGAAGGTTTGGTAGAGAGAGAGAGAGAGAGAGAGAGAGATTTTATTTTATTTTTTAAAATTATCTTTAAGGGCTGGGAAGGTGGCTTAGTGATAGAAAGCTTGCCTTGCATGCATGAAACCCTGGGTTCGATTCCTCAGCACCACATAAGCAGAAAAAGCCAGAAGTGGCGTTGTGGCTCAAGTGGTAGAACACTAGTCTTGAGCTGAAGAGTTGAGGGACAGTGCCCAGGTCCAGAGTTCAGGCTCCACGACCAACAAAAAAACAAAAACAAGAAACAAAAAATTTAAGTAGTTGTACAAAGAGCTTTTGATTCAATATGTCGTTTTGAATAGAATATCTTGATCACTGTGGTCCCTTCCATGGTTTTTAGTTTTTATTTAAAATCAACCATGTGGAAATGTGTAGAGTGATGGCTCCTGTGGTATTTTCATGTCACCATTGCACATGCCTGAGTCCGTGGCTTCTTTCCAAAGGAGCCTTGTAATCATCTTTTATTTTGTGCTTATTATTAATTTTGTTTTTTTAATTAAATTTTTTTGATGGTCCTGGGTGGGTGCTGTTGCTGAGCTTCTTTTGCCCAAGAATAGTACTCTATCACTTTTTTCTTTTTTTTTTTTTTAATCGGTCGTGGGGTTTGAACTCTGGGCTTGGGTGCTGTCCCTCAGCTCTTCAGCTCAAGGTGAGCGCTCTACCACTTGAACCACAGCACCACTTCTGGTTTTCTAGTGATTTATTGGAGATAAGTGTCTCATGGACTTTCCTGCCCGGGCTGGCCTTGTACCTCTATCCTCAGATCTCAGCCTCCGGAATAGCTAGATTACAGGCATGAGCCACTGGCACACGGCTAATACTCTATCACCTGAGCCACAGCACCACTTCCAGCTTTTTCTGAGTTTATTGGAGGTAAGAGTCTCACAGACTTTCAAGCTCGGACTGGCTTCAAACCATGATCCTCAGATCTGATCTCGCTGAACTAGCTAAGATTACAGGCATGAGCCTCCAGTACCTAGCTATAATAATTTTTTATAATAATGATAATAATCTTTTATCAATCAAAGATCCTTTATTAGAAAGCCAGTGACCTCTGCCCCTCCCGTTATGTGTCTGACCTGTGAATCTAGCGTTTTTATTAAATGAGGTTATCTGGAAAAGGGACCTCTCAAACTTGATGACCTTGGAACTGGAGGTGTTGCTCAAGTGGGAGAGGGCTGGTGCTGAGAGAAAAAGCTCAGACTGGTGGCTCAGAGTTCAAAGCTGGTGACCTAGAATGGAGGTGCCTGATCTCTTCTGCATTCAGATTTTTAGGGGGGTGTTTGCAGAATATCCTTTTACGAAGGGGAAGGGGAAAGGCAAAAACTGTACTGTGGTGTAATTTTCATTCCTTTTTTCCCCCTTTTTATTGGGGGGGGTCTGGTTGTGGTGCCTGAACTCTGGGCCTGGGCGCTGTCCCTCAGTTCTTCAGCTCAAGGCTAGCACACTACCACTTGAGCCATAGCACCAGTTCCAGCTTTTTTTCTTTTTGCTTATGTGGTGCTGAGGAATCGAACCCAGGGCCTCATGCATGCAAAGCAAGCGCTCTACCACTGAGCCACCTTCCCAGCCCTTCCCCCTTTCTCCAGCATGGCTCAAGAACATCTCTGCATCATTTCCTAAATGTTATTTTCTTTTGGAATAGGTTGGAGAGAGGGAGCTTTCTAATTTCTTTCTGTGCTCTTTTGTTGTTGTTGTTAATTCGCTTTTCAGCCATCCAGTTGGTAGTTTGGTAGGCTCTGAGGTCATAATATGTTTGCACGGTTGGGTGAAGACCAAACCTCTGTTAAATTTTTGTTTCCCCAAGATTTACCTGTACAAAGTTAGGATTTGTTCAGTTTCTTTCTGTCAAAGTATCTTTGGAAATGGTAGGATAGATGTTCCCCAAAATCTACAAAGCAGGGCCCAGGTTTTGTGTGTGTGTGTGTGTGTGTGTGTGTGTGTGTGTGAAATCTTATTCAGGACTGGGAAGGTGGCTCAGTGGTAGAGCGCTTGCCTCACATGCATGAGGCCCTGGGTTTGATTCCTCAGCACCACATAAGCAGAAAAGGCTGGAAGTGGCACTGTGGCTCAAGTGGTAGAGCGTTAGCCTTGACCTGAAGAGCTGAGGGACAGTGCCCAGGCCCAGAGTTCAAGCCCCATGACCGACAAAAAAAATGTTATTCCCCCTGAAGTGAAAAGTGATACTGTATTTCTTTCAAGCTTCATTTGGTAGCCTGCCTTAGCCCAGAGCAGACTCCTGCACTGATGTGAGCTGTTGTTCTTTGCAGGTTTGTTGAGTCGCATTTGCCACAGGTGTGTGGTGCCATCTCCCAGGAGCCAGTGGCTGTAATTCCGCCCCAGTTGGTCCGAATTGCTGGGCTGTTGCCATCTCTGCTTAGGTTGGTGGACACACTCAAGTACCAACCTGGCTGCAGGTTGGCACAACCTGCAGGCCATTTCCAGGAACTTTTGCCCCAGGTGTCAAAGACTGCCCCGCAAAGATGCTGAGACAGATACTGGCGGAGATGTACATCGATCCGGACCTCTTGGCGGAGCTCAGCGAGGAGCAGAAACAGATCCTGTTCTTCAAGATGAGGGAGGAGCAGATCCGACGATGGAAAGAAAGAGAAGCAGCCATGGAAAGAAAGGAGTCCTTGCCAGTGAAATCCAGACCAAAGAAAGGTAAACCTAGCCACTTGGGTGCTGTGCGCACACTGGCGGCCCAGTTCTGTCCTGTAAGAGCTCACACCGATGCGAGCTGGCCAGGTGTGAGTTGTGATTTTGTGCAATTCTGCTAAATATTTTTGAGATTCTGATGGTGCAGTTTATCAAGTTGGTAAACTCAAAATCACACACACACACACAGAGTGTGTAGCATGGAGTTGTATAACGTTAAGCAGATCTTTTACTTTAAAACGGACTGACCTTAAGCTGCAGTAGAAAGTCACCTCTAGGGAACGGGTGCAGCTCAATGGTCGAGTGCCTGCCTAGCATGCATGAAGCCCTGAGTTTCATCTTTCACACTGGGGGAAAAAACATCACCCTAGAGTTTAATTTTTAGGACATTCAGGAATTCTCTTATCTGCCTCATTGTTAGGAAGGCCCAGCGTTCCACTACCAGCGCGAAAAGAATTTGTTGCCACATCTTTAAAGCAATTCTGTTTGTATTTCATAGACCTCAAAAGAGTTTTCTTTGAGTTACCATTTTTTTAAAAATCATTGCCCTCTTAAAATGTAAGGAGCTGCTTTAAGGAGAAAAAAATAGTTGTTCTCTCTCCCTCCTTTCCTCCCTCCCGAACTTTCCTTCCTTCCTTCCTTCCTTCCTTCCTTCCTCTCTCTCTCTTTTCTTTCTTTCTTTGTTTCTTTCTTTCCCTCTGTCTCTTTCTCTCTTCCTTTCTCTCTCTTTCTTTAAAAGTCTTTCTTATTTTCTTTCTTTCTTTTCGTGAGTGAGGGTTCAGATATGTTTCCTCATAACTAAAGGAACTCTTAGGAGTTTGAATGGGATCTTTTGAGAAGTAAATTGGAAGTAAATTCTTTTTACATAAAGACTTAAAGAACAAGCCAGGCACCAGTGACTCATGCCTGTAATAACTACTCAGGAAGCAGAGATCTGAGGATCACAGTTTGAAGCCAGCCCTGGCAGGAAAGTCTGTAAGATTCTTATCACTAATTAATTACCACCCTCCCCACCCCCCCCAAGAAGTAGAGCTATAATTCAAGTGGTAGAGCACTAGCCTTGAGCACAAAAGCTCAGGGACAGTGCTCAGGCCCTGAGTTCAAACCCCAGGAACAGCGTGCGTGCACTCACACTCACGTACACACCCACACAACACAGACTCAAAACACATACATATACAAACAGAAAAATAGACATTAACATTTCCTCATCTCCCTAACTCCATACACAGACTCTTTCCTGGATGACTACCTAAGCTGTTAATAAATGACACAATTTTCAAGGTCATCTAGAGAGGCATTCAATATCAATTTACTCTCCCTTTTTTTCTTTAATTAAGCCAGTGGAAAATGTTATAAAATCACCCTGGGTTTTGAGGGTTGAACAATTGAATCTCATTTGCATGCTTGGTGTAGACACTCACATTCAACATCAGCTAAGTGACTTTCACCTTGTTCTGTACTTTGCTAAAACTTTTTCCTTGTGCTGATAAGGAAATAAATATGAGTATTTCATGTATTGTTTTATGATGTAACATATGCAACATAAAGTAAACAGAATATAAAAACTGCCTATGCTGGCATTTCAGTACAATGCAAAACACTTTTACATACATTTATATTTAATGTTGGTCTCAATTTTCCAGTTTAATAGGCAAAGAAACTGAAAGAAAAGTAACATACAAGGTCACACTTCTAATACTTTTGTTTGTAATTAATTTTTTTCTTTGTCCCTTCGTTCTTCTCACTCAGGGCTAGTATTCTTCCACTTGAGTTCCATTTCCAGCTTAGTGGTGGTTAATTGGAGAGAACAGACTCTCAGGTTTGGCTGCCTGGGCTGGCTTCAAACCATGATCCTCAGATCTCAGCCTCTTGAGTAGCGAGGATTACAGGTGTGAGCTACCAGTGCCAGGGCACCTAATTGATCCCAAGACATGTTGGATTTCACATTGTATTATCCAAAATTGATATTTTTTCCCTTTGAAAAATAAAACATCCAAATGGCAGCATAGTTTTCTGAGCAGGTTCATGCACCTCTTTGCCTGCCTTAGAGATTGTTGGGTATAGCTGGGGCTCTTCTGAATCATGAGTATGCTAATGTGGGAGATGAAGGGCTCTTCCCCCTTGAGCAAGAAGCCCTGTCCTTCATTAGACTTGGGCTTCTCATGTTTGCTGAGTTGCTCTCCTCATGATAACATCCTGCAGCTTCTTTGCTTCAGTTTTCCCTTGCCAAGTTTTGGATCTAGCTCTCAGAATATACCTATATTACTTATTACATGACCATGACAAAGTAGTGTGTTGATACACACTCGGAGTTCTATCCACATTTCTTATCAGCTTTGCTGAATACTTTAACATATGGAAAGATGTGGTTTGCGTTAAATTGGTTCCTCTTCTGAGGTTTCTCACACTTGCCCTAAAAGCAAAACCTGTTTCTGTTCCTCATTTTGTTCTACCTTTGAGGAGAGAGCTGCAGACAATCCACAACCGCATGGCGATGTCTGGGCCTGCCCTGAGGTGCTGTCTGGAGCTGCAGAATTACTGAACCTGTGGCCCTCGGGTGTCCTGGCTTCCCCATACCCCTACTTCCTTCTAACCTGTGCTCCAAGCCTCTCTCAGGCCACTAAAAGTAGATGAATTCAGCTTGTCCAGGATCCTATTGATGTTTGTGATCCCAGCGTCTGTTTTGGTTGCTTGCTTTTCAATCCCAGTGCTTCCGCTTGGCCCACACATTATTAGGCTGCCCAAATGCAGGCTTTGCAGTCACGAAGACTGATTCTGAATCCCGATCTCAATGTGCAGCAGCTAGCTGATCTTGGATAGTTACATAACTTTCTGAGCTTCAGTGGCCCCACTATACACAGTGTAGTGTAATATATGTAAAATGGTGTAGCGTGGTATTTAATGAGAGATAGGATGTAGGCATACATCATTCAGGAGCGACATGGCCATAGCTCTGGAGACCCAGACCATCCTGCCATCCAGAATCGTCTTTTGGTTTCTGAGTGAGCTGGAGGAGAAGAGAGGAGAGTGTCTGAGAGGCAGAGAGAGGGAAGATATTATCTGAGACACCAAGGCCAAAGGTTGTAGAGGTATAGTAGTATTTTAACCACTTATACATAGATTAGTTTCTATTGTATTTATACTCAGCCCTTTGTATCTGTGGATTGTATATTCAGGTCTTCAATCAAATCAAAAATATTAAAATCACATCTGTAGTGAAAATGTATACTCAGTTTTTCCCGTGCCCTCATTCACCAAACTATATACTCGAAGAATTATTTACATGATATTTATGCTGCATTGATATCATCAGCAATTTCGACATTTCTGACCTTCCAGGATGCGATTCCAGATACCTTCTGGATATCTTCACAAGGATTTCTTGAAAATGAAAGTAGTAATTTATTCTACATTCCCAAAAAGCTGATTATTACTCTCCAGGTTTATTTTCTGAATGTCACTATTTCTGCCCATTACCCTATTGTGCTTCCAGCTGGTGGTTCTAAGTGTTGGTCTTGGCTGGGTGTGGTGGTGCATACTTATAATCCCAGCTACTCAGGACACAGAGGCAGGAGCACTGTGCGTTTGAGATCAGACTAGGAAAAGGTATCATCAGATCCTATTTTGAAAATGAAATTAATGATGATAATGAAAGGACTTGGGCGCATGGGCCAAGGGGCAGATTGCGCTTGCCTAGCTGGCACAAGACCCTGAATTGAATCCCCAGTACTATAAAGTATTAGCCTCACATTTTGAGTCTTCACTTGGATCCAGCCTTATTGTCTTTTTAGAATTTTCCATGTAGAATGTGCATTTGCTGAGGGGATCTACCTCCGTGTGTGGCATACAGTCAACATGGAATAAGAATCCATTCTATAAATAACCTAGTTAGTGTCTGGCTGTCTCTCTCAGAGGAACAGCCCCATCATCTCTCTCACCCCTGTATGGCCTGAGCATCAAATTCACTGCATCAAGCTGTACTGAGCTTCATTCATCATCTCGGTAGGAAGCCCAGGGTGCCCCAGCTGGTACACTCCATTCAGCTAGCATGCCTCCTGCCTTCCTTCCCCACCTGCAGCCTTTGAGAGTCACGTGGGGTCCCTTAAAGAATGCCTCCAATCTTGTTACTCTCTGAGCCTGTTGAAGGCCTCCCGGAGGTGAGGAGGCTGGACACCAGATGCTCAAGCTGCCCATCTGAGCATCTTATCTATGACTTCTTAATTATCCTCACTTGACTCTCTCAGCATGCACTCTGGTCCCCTCCTTTGCCTCTCCTCTCTACTTCTAGTTCTTTTTGTTCCTTTCCTTGTTATCTTCAATCCTCAGGGCTTACTCTGCCACCCTGGAGCGAGGCCCCTTTTCCCTGACAGCTGTTTCTGCTATGGTGTTTGGACATGGTGCTCAGAGGAACATTAGCAAAGCGTCATCACTGAACGGCCAAATTTCTGAGTTCCTTCTCTTTGTCTCCCCTGGGACACTGGCCCTGACCTCTGTCGATGTCATTCTCCTGCAGTCAGAGAAATGTCCATAGGGAGTTACTTAGATGAAGTTCGAGAAGATAGACATAATAAAAATATTAGCTGCCCTGAGAGAGTGTAATGAGGGGAGTTTTATGAGCTATGACAGCTCCTAAGGTTAATGAGCCATTGAGCATGCCCTGAAACAGCCAGAGCTGACAAAGGCTGGCCCCAAAGCCCACAGGGATCTGTCTTCTTTCCTTACCTGGATACCACTTTCTCCATTTCTCTATGCTGAAAACAAGGTCAGGTGGTTTCCTTTTAATGATACTTCTTAACCCACTTATAATTTTTACTTATGCATTTATTTTGCTGGTCCTAGTGCTTGAACTCAGGGCCTAGGTGCTGTCCTTGAGCTTCTTTTGCTCGACTAGTGCTCAACCACTTGAGTCATAGCACCACTTCCGGCTTTGTCTGAGTACTGTTTATTGGAGATGAGTATCACAGATTTTCCTGCCTCGGCTGGCTTTGAACCACGATCCTCAGATCTCCACCTTCTGAGTAGCTAGGATTACAGGTATGAGCCACTGGCACCCTGTTTCTGAATCCTTTTTATAATGAAGACTATATGAATATATTCTACCCCCTTCATTGGCTTTGTTTAAATCTTTCTCAGGCTACACAAGAGAAGAGCCAAAACAAATATAAAGCCGGCCTCTGAGGAAACGGTTCTTTTTCTTTTTCTTTCTTTTTTCTTTTTGTTGTCGGTCTTGGGGTTTGAACTCTGGGCCTGGGCTCTTCCCTCAGCTCTTCAGCTCAAGGTGAGCACTCTACCATCTGAGCCACAGCACCACTTCTGGTTTTCTGGTGGTTTATTGGAAATAAGAGTTTCGCGGCTTTTCCTGCCCAGGGTGGCTTTGAACCGTGATCCTCAGATCTCAGACTCCTGAGCAGCTAGGATTACAGGCATAAGCCACAGGTGCCCGGCTAGCAGCTGGTTCTTGTAGGCCATCCTTAGACTGATCTATGAAATGGGTTGACAGTACGGAGACTCTTTCAGTGGAAACCTTTCTCTGCTTAGTAGGAAGAGAAAAGATGCCATGGCAGTGTGGGTTTCTAACCTGTGTGGCAGAGAGTGTATTGCAGTTGGCTGCCCTATTTCACACGCTCACTATCACTGGCCAGTTTAGGGTCTTGTCTAGAAACATCTTGGGACCAAGTCTACCCCAGGGTGCCCTAGGACATTTAGATTTAGGGACTGTGCCTCTGAACCTCCCTAAGGCAAGCTGGCCCTATGTGGGGTATTTCAGGAAAACAGGAGCTAGAATGTAATACAACCCTGGTCTCAGACCAACTGTAAACAAGGGTTATTTAAGTAGCTCCTCCAAGTGTCACTCTACCTGGTAGCATTATCTTCTCACAAGCTGGTGTGAATCTCCAGGCAGCCACGTAAGTAAATAATGATAGCAGCTCACCTCTGTTGAACTTGTAGTGCATGGCAGGCAGCTGGGGAGGGACTTAGCATCCCAGCTTACCTTCTTCTCCCAGTAGTAGATGGTTGTATTCCCATTTCGCAGATGGGCAAATGGAGTCCTAAAGAGAGAATCATTGGTCCAAGCTACTCAGCTGTAGGTTGCAGGGCTAGGATTGGAATATAGCCTGTCTGACTCTGAACATATGCTTTTCAACCACCCATGGCACCTATACTAATGGAGATATCAGGCACTTAATTACACAGCTGTGTAATTCTGGATTACAAGGATTTTTAGACTTCCCAGGTTGTGCTGTCAGATGCTAGCTTCCTGATCCTGAAGGGATAATGCAGATCATTAAAGGCTTTCCTCCTGGACTCACCATCTTCAGTGATAGGATGAGCACATACAGCCATGCACCAGTGGCTCATGCCTGGAATTCTAGCTACTCAGGAGGCAGATATCTGAGGGTCATGGTTTAAAGCTAACCCAGGCAGAAAAGTCTGTGAGACTCTTTTATCTCCAATTAATCACTACAAAAACTTGTGGCTCTGGTGGTAGAGCACCAGCCTTTAGTGCAAAAAGTAAGGGAAAATGCCGAGGCTCTGAGTTCAAGCCATAGTAGTAGCACATGTGTGCATGCATACACACACACACACACACACACACACACACACACACACAATGAGCATATATAAAAACAAATCCCATAATATTTTAAAACAAATATGATTATTGTCACTGCTCTTTGCTGCCATTGCTGCCTGTGAATACTGCTTGATACTGAGCGGGGTAGAAGAGTTCATCTCCTCTCACCTCCCCCTCCCCGAGACCTTCAATGATCGTTGCTGGATAGAATCCATATTCCATAAATGAAGATATTTACTCACCTCATATGTTTTGCTTTGGTTACAGAGAATTGCAAATCTGTGCACTGGAGACTGGGCGCTGATAAAGAGGTGTGGGTGTGGGTGATGGGTGAACACCATCTGGATAAACCCTACGAGCTGCTCTGCAGCGAGATTACTGCGGAGAGGGCGAGGCTGAGAGCCCAGCAGGACGCAGAGGGGCCCAGGTAAGAACCTGCACACCATCCAGGCACCTGCCTCCTATTAAAAGACCCTACTGAGATGCCTCTTGGCTCGAGTGGGAGAACGAAGTAGGATTTGAGGTTGGCAAAAGTCCTGGTCGATCTCTCTGGAAAGTGTCTTCAGAGTTTCCGAGTTTCTTCTTCTTCCCATAGTGCCAGTTCAGGTCTGTGTGTCAATGATGTCTGACTTCCCAGTGCAGCCCCAGCCAGCTGGGCGTCAGGAAGGTCTGTGAGAAGTTCAGGCCTTCCAAGAAGATGGCTCAGACGAGAGCACACAAGTAAGCAGGCTCTCTGGTTTTCTGCTGTTCAGACGCTGGCAGTTCAGAGAGGATCAGGGAGTTTCCTCTAGGAGGCAGATTGGCAGATACACAATGCAGGCTAAGAGCTGTGGTTGACTTGTAAACAATTCACTGGGCCCAGAGGGAAACCTATCATCCTGATGCATAGAAGAGGTGAAATCTGAAAGATAAGTTAACTGTCTAGCCACAGAAGGTCAGAAAAGAAAGTGCAGGTGGATTACATAATTTGAATGGTTCTTTGGAGCCCAATAGCATCCTCTGAGGGCTTGGGGTACAGTTGGGTGAGTGGTAGAACACAGGACCATATCCTGAGATGCCTTGAACACCAGATGTGTAGGATTCCAGAGATGGAGGGGATTTTGAATAGGGAAGTGATATAATCAGCTGGACATATAAAAAGGTGACTCATTGGGGATATTGAGGCAGGCAGTGATTTCCCTTTGCTGGATGGCCAAGGTGACCCCTGGGAAGCCACACTCCATCATGGTGCCCTCCACTGAGCTGGTGAGTGGAAGCTGAAAGAGATTTGAGGACCTCTTTAAGTCTTGCAGCCCCTAAAGGCTGGTGCTGACATCTGCCAACTCCTGTGATCACGATAAAGGGAGTATTTACCAACACATCATAGGAAAGCTGTGTGTTCTAGCAACCTAGCTCCAACTAGAAGTTGAGCAGACCTGCGTCTAAATCTTGCCCATGGCCCTCTGGGGTAGGGGGTGGGGTGGGGTGAGAGTCCTCAACAAGTTGTAAGATTTCTTTTTTTTTTTTTTTGGTCGGTCGTGGAGCTTGAACTCTGGGCCTGGGCGCTGTCCCTCAGCTCTTCAGCTCAAGGCGAGCGCTCTACCACTTGAGCTACAGCGACACTTCCTGTAAGATTTCTTAGGGGCAAGAATAATGCTTTCCCCACAGAGCTGTGGGAAGATTTCAGTCCTGTTTTTGCAGTACCTTGCGGAGGGCCTGGCACCTGATGAAGCAAGGTAGTTAGCAATGTAGTCACCTGCTGTGGAAAAGCTATATTGAAAAATTTGGTGTTTTTTTTTTGTTGTTGTTGGTAATGGTACTTTTGTTTCTTTTCAGAAAAACTCAGTCTGAAGAAGTCAGCAATAGCGTGAAAACACAATCACAGTATCCTGGTCTGCAAGCACTAGATAAGTCAGAGACTCAGAACATCTCTAAGAAAGCAGGAGGAGGGGAATCCGGACAAGGAATTAGACCAGTACCGACCCTGGGGGAAGAAAAAGCTCAAGTGAGTGTTAGGGATCAGCACGTGTGCACAGTTCCACCTTGGGGGTGGGGAGAGGGGCTGGAGTTGTCAGGGCTGCTGAGACAAAGGTATCTATACCCCAGGCTATCAAAGCAGCACTTCTGGGCAAAGTGCCTCCTGCCTTTAGGTTACTTTGGGAGAACTGAGTCATCTACTTTCTCACACAGAACACTTTCCTTTTCTTGGGATTGAAGGGACTACGAAAGAACTCTAGGAATCAGCTTGAGCATTTGACAGTCATTCCGGGACTTTTTATTTTACCCCATCATACGTCTTCCATAGCAGGGATTGGCAGTTTCTGTTGCCAGTAGCCACATAGTGAAGAGTGCAGGGATTTTTTTTATGGACTGTCTCAAGTACACACAAATGAATGTGTACAGCTGTGCTCCACAAAACCTGCGTGCAGAGGCCGGCAAAAGATGGGCAGGTGAGACTTGGCACATTCTTCTATTCATTTATTTATTTTTTATTTATTTGTGGACTCCAAACGTTGGTATCTTTTTGATCTTATAGATTTCCACCTGTGATTGTGGAGGTAATTATTTCTTCAACACCGTCAAATTTTAGACTCAAAGCTGGTATGGCTCCCTGAGGGTCTGGCTGGCTTAGAAAAGCTCAAGCATTATTTGCTGCATAGATTATGGTTAAGGAAGAACACGAGAACACTGTATTATAAAGTACTTTGTTCTGCCAGGAATGTAATTACACTGTGAATTCACAGAGGATGTGTGGCTGTTTGATTTCCACTGAAGTCCTCAGCTCAGCATGAAGGTTGTGTGTGTGTTCTCCATACCTATGAGGCTGTCCCATGGGGACACAGTAATCTCTGTCCTGCCTGCCTACATCCTGCGTGTGTTAGTACTCTAGTAATTAATGTGGACCAAGGCTTAGGCTGTGGCAAAGCAAGAACAGATTGCTGGGTGTCTCATGTGATGCTCACTACTTTACAAATTAACCCCTGCTTGTCCATTTTACAGGTAAGGAAACTGAAGTTAGGTATGGGCAAACAACCTGCCCTCGGTGTTCTTCAAACTCAGGTCTGCAGGATTCCTAGATCACCCCTTAACTATTAACTCTTGGGCTGGATGCCTCATGTCTAAGTGGGATATGAAGAAGTTGTATACAGATTCACCAATATTGCTGGGCATTGGTGGCTCACACCTGTAATCCTACCTACTCAGGAGGCTGAAATATTGAGGAAGACAGTTCAAAGCCAGCCTAGGCAGAAAAGTCTGTAAGATGCTATCTCCAAATTACCCAGTGAATTGACATACTGGAGGCGTGCATGGCTCCCATGGTAGAGTAAGGTAGCAAGGGAAAGCTAAGGCCCTGAGTTCAAATCCTAGTACTGGCAAAAAAAGGCTTAAAATATATAGCACCAAAGTAATTATAAATTGTGTTGTATGTATTGAGGTTACCTGAGGGCTTTCCCCACATGCCCTAGAGAGACCCCCAAGTTTTGCCAGATTCAGTGTATATCCAGTGTGTGTAACAACACATCCCCCTTTCAAAGATCTCTAAAATCAAAAAAGAACAATAAACTCTCTCCTAGGTTTATTCTGTGCTTGAGTGATAGTCTCTTCCTTGTAAATACTGTTCAAAAGTAGGACAAAGTAATAAAATAGAAACTAAATAAATACCGTGATGGTTAGTCTCAAAGCACATCAAAGATATGATAGGGATATTGGACCTATTCCATTCCCTAGACATCGGCTAACGGGGTTGGATGGAAAGAGAAGGGAGGGGAAGGAGGCATTTAGATATGCGGAGTATGCAAATAACCAGGAGACAGATTTTTATATTTTGCTTTTCATCTTTCCCCTGTGTCAGGGACCTGTCAGGGTCTCCCGTGGTGCTTGCTGAAGTTCACTGTGACAGCGGGCTGCTCAGGAAGGAAGTTCATCTGCACAGTAGTGCTAGCATTTAAATGACAAGTCACCTACCATGTATGGAGCTCACTTCATGGCAGATTGATATATTTCTTTTTCTTTCACAGGAGGTTGAACTCAGCCTCATGCTCTCACTTGGCTTTTTCAGTTAAATCTAATGCTCTAACATTTGAGCCACATCTCCACTTCTAGATTTTTGCTGGCTAATGGGAGATAAGAATCTTATGAATTTTATTTTTGTCCAGACTGGCTTTGAATCATGATCCCTAGATCTCGGTCTCCTGAATAGCTAGGAGTACAGGCCTGAGCCACCAGCCCCAGGCTCTTCAGATGTATATTTTTATTGTTACCTCTGTCACTACAGTAAGTTGATTAGCATCCCCCTCTCCCAACTCATGTCTGCTCACAATGGGAAATTATCTGGAAATAGATCTTTGCGTATATAATTAAGAATGTCAAGATGAGATCATTGTGGATGGAGGGTAGCCTTTAAGTGGAATGACAGTCATCTTTGTTAGAGAAAGCCAGAGGGAGATTTGAGAGATGAAAACAAAGAAAAGAAAGCAAGTGAAGATGGAGCTGGAGAGGAGGTGGGTTGATCTAAGCCAAGAGTCACCAGATCCTAGAAGGGTCAAGAAAGACCCTTCCCAGAGTACTTAGAAGATGCTCAGGGTGGCCAAATCCTTGATTCTAGATCTCCAGTATCTGAAAGTATGAGAGAGTGAATATCTGATGTATTCAGCCACTAAGCTTATGGTTATTTGTTTCAGGAGTTCTAAAAAATGAAAAATTACTTTTGTGTACAGTTTCTCAGAAATGTTGCATCTTGTTGTCTCAATTATAAAGTAGTTATTTGTATTGAGTAGAAACTATTTTGGAGAGACTTATATCCTTTCTGAGATACCAGAAAATAACTTGAACCTGGACTTCTTCAGTTACCCTATTAACTCTTGAGTTTCCTACTTACACAAAGGGAATGTATAAATTGTCTGTAAGACAGAATGATAGCACAGATGATCACATCCAGAGCTCTATACCCGGGTATACATCACTTCCCATTGGAAAAGGGGACTTGCCTGTGGGACAAAAGAGAAAACCCTTGACATGGGCAATTGCCTGTGGAACTAATGGGGTGTCCCAGTTTCACTACATCAATCCCTTAAAATGGAAAAATCTGTTCTGGTAGAACCTGAGTGAGATTTGGCTGTAGACTAATGGGAAGAGAGATCATGACATTGTTGGTTTTGATGAAAAAAGGGACCACATGTGAACCAAGGAACAAAGGCAGGTTCTAGAAACAAAAAGACCAGGATTGCTCCCCAGAAGTCTTTATAAGTAACACAGCTCTACCAACATGAGTTTAGCGCAGCATGGTCTCTGACCTATGAAATGGAAGGTAATCAATTTGTGTTTCTTAAAACCACTAAATTCATCGTGATTTATGACACTATCAATAGACAATGTCATAGATTTTGTGATGAGTAAATGAGGTACAAACAAGTAAAACCTGGTATAAAGCTTTTTCTCTGGTACATAATTCACATCAGGTATTTGGTAAGCTCATTCCCTGTTCCCCTACAAGAATTTTAACTTTTTAATGTAGACAAGCCAGGAGACTAAGCCAGGATGACTGGCTTCCTCCATTCTTTCCCATGGGACTTCATTTCCCATTGTGTACTAGGCATGAAGGAGAAAATGGTGATATGGAAGCAGTGGTTGGCTGGAGAGGCAGGGAGATGCTTTCCCTAACATGCAATCCCGAAGGATAATAAGTGATCTGAGGAGAGGAATGAGTTTCTCAGCCCCTATTCTCATTCTCAAGTGGGTGTAGTGAACAGAAGCTGATCTTATATGAGTGAAAACATGCAAGCTGACTTAGAGTTCATGAAGTTATTTCCTTTCTCATACTGTTAACAATGAAGCAAACAACGCCAGTATTTGCACTTGTTTTGTGCAAATGAAGAAATCAATGTTCAAAGAGATTGTAAGATCTGTCTTCAAGATCTCTTCAAGAGATTGTAAGATCTGTCTTCAAGGACTTTCAAGTCTTTGTTTTGCTTATCTATTTTGGTCCACATTCTCCATCACAAGATGAAATGCTTAGAAAACGACTTACCACCTTCCCCAGCCTTCTTCAGAACTCTCTGCTGGGAAATCAAGGCTAGAGTGCTGACACACATCCAGCACATCCCCAAAATGGAATTGGATGGCTGAGATGATTCCTTGTAAGTTTTCTTCTAGTTGTAAACATTCACATCTGAAACCCATACCACCTGAAGCCTGAGCAGAAAAACAGAAGTAGGGTTTCCATAGAGTTTTCTGGTGGATGAACTATTCGGTGAGGTCTACGCAATTACCTAAAAGCAGCAGTTGGGCAGAGATGTGATATGCAAGTTCAAGGTTAGCTCAGCATTATTTCTGTGATAAGAAAAAGTGACACATTCTTCCATCAAGTGACAACCCTGTCTGGACCTGCCTTCTACCAACTCACAAACTTACTGCTTAGGACTGGATGTGGGGCTCATTCCTGTAATCCCAACTCCTGGGGAGGTAGAAGAAGGAGGATTATGGTTCCAGACTGGTTTGTGCAGACAAGTTCATGAGACCCCTTTTCAATCCATAACTGGGCAGAGCAGTGTGTGCCTGGCACTCTGAGCTACATGGGAGGCCAAGATTGGGAGAATGGAATCTCCAGGTCAAGGCAGGCAGAAAAGTCCTCATCCAAACTCCATCTAAACAGAGGGAAGATGGACTTAGTGGCAGGCATCTGTATCCCAGCAGCAATGGGATGTCTAAAGCACTCCTGGGTGGAAAGCAGGACCCTATCCTAAAAATAGCCATTAAAAACAGGTCTGGAGGCATGGTTCAGCAGTAAAGCACCAGCCTAGCAAGCAGATGGCCCCACATTCAAGCCCCAGATGAAGAATTAAAGGGATGCAAAGATGCTGATGAGCAAGGCCCCGTGTGAACAGGCTCCTGTGCCTGGGGGAAAGGAGGAGGAGCTGGGAGGCCCCTCTCTCTTCATGACCCCCCTCAATGTGGTCAGTCGTTGGAAAGACCTGAGCGTGGAGGAGATGGATCTGTACTGAGTGC